CACTAGATGGCATGAACTGCTCAAAGATCCTGTCCAAAAGAGTCCAAAAAAGCTGAAATTTCTCAATGAGAAGGTACAGAAATTATACAGGAGGAACAAGTGGTGAGGATGCTGAAAGCTCTACCATTTGCTATCAGGTTGTGGGAACTTCCCCAGCATTTCATGAGGAGGCCAGGATCTCAGTAAGACGTTTTGTGGTATGTATCAGTTAGGCTGTTTCATGACTAGTCCTTTCTGTGGTTGGGATTTCTCTGGAAGGAAGTTTTCATGCACTGTCCTCCCCGAAGCACTTGGAGTTACTGCTGGGCAGCTTCTGTTCCTCGAAATAATCAAATTGTGTTATCTTGACTTGCACCTGTGGAGAAATGCTCCCAATTTCTGTCTCTTATGAGATAGCCAGTTTCCCCTTCCTAAACTGAATTTCTTATGTGAAATTTTCCATTGATCCAGGTAAGAACAAGGTGCACCTGCAAGGCAACACACTTGCACGTGATGTCTACTGCCCTGACATTTGTCCCATTTCATACCAATCACTCATGGAAACTATTCATGGACATACCGAGCAGGGTTTCTTGTTGCTTCAACTTTAGTCCCTTTGTGCTGCCATTAGACAGAACTATTTCAGTTATCAGCAACTGGTGACCTGCCTGTCTGACCGGATGACCCCTTCAAAGGATGTTTCATAGAAGCCCCTCCAAGAAAGGCTCAAATTAAGAAGAAATTTTTCACCATGAGGGTGGTGAGGCAGTGGCCAAGGTTGCCCAGGGAAGCTGTGGATGCCCCATCCCTGGAGGGGTTCAAGGCCAGGCTGGATGAGGCTTTGAGCAACCTGGGCTAGTGGGAGGTGTCCCTGCCCATGGCAGGGGGTTGGAACTTGATGATCTGTAAGGTCCCTTCCAAACCATACTGTGATTCTGTGATTCTATGATCCCCAGCACCAAGACCCTTTGACAGAGAATTCAGGCATATTTAAGATTTTCATCCTGAATCAGAACAATACCAGATTTTGAAGTTCTGAAATGCTCTGCTGGTCTGTGGTACACACAGCTAACAGCAACGGGGGAGAGATTAGCAGTGATGGGAACCCCAGAAAAGCCCTTTCAGGAACACAAGCACCTCCCAAATAGTGTCAGAACTCAGGACCATCAGGTCCTATCCAGATGTTTCAGAGGAGATTGATTAGATTAAAACATGAAAGAAAATATATAATGTATTACCCTGAACTTAATTTCACCTCTGGGCGTTTATCTATGTCTATGCCTGTGTAACCCTTTGGGACTCTTGCCAATTACTTGATCAAATTGCTGGCTTCAAATGCCACTAAATTCTGCAGTTCATTAGTGCTTTGGGTAGATCTAGTTCCTGGGTCAGACCCTTGTAGTTGGGCATTTAATGTACGTGCCTTTGCATTAGGTGGATGTCTGGTGTTCCATTCTTCTGCCTAGAAGAACAGAGAACTGGAAATCTTTAATTTATGAATCCGTGCAGCCATGGCACTGATGATATGATCAAATGCCTCCCTGATCTTGTTCCTCAGCTTCAATCTGGAGTCTGGAAAATTCCTGCTCTTGAGCTAGAAGGTGCCAACATTTTCTTTAGCTTCAACTCTCCCCACAGGGTTTATTTAACTGGTACATTGAAAATGAGGAAGACTAGTCCTACCCACGAGCCTTGCATGGAAAAACAGAGGGATGCAGATGTGTGAAGGCAGAGCATCACCAAGGTGCATGTGTTTGTATGGCAACGCAGCGAGATTCCTTGACATAACATGATCTGTTCCAGGTGAAATGTGTGTAGAAGCTCAGCTGTTAGATCATGTCTCTCTCCATTTGTCTCTGCTCATGGTGGCCGCAGGCATGCCAGGCAATTTAATTTGTTGAGCCTCCACCCAAAGAACAGCTGCTCATTTTGTTAAGTCGGCAAAAGTCAGTATCAAACATGTCTAATGTGAACACACCTGAGTAACTGCTTATCTTGGTCTCCAAAGGCATCCCCAGAGCAGGGCCTGCCATATTCCCCCCAAAATCAGAAGACTTTATTCCAAGGAGGGGGATAATGTGAACAATCAAGACCTCGGGCTTAATGTTCACTTGCCAAACCTAACCGCATCAGAACCATGTCAAAACACACCTTGGTCTTATTTAGCTACGTGCTGTGTCCTTACGTGCCCTTGCTGAGGAGAGCGTGAGCAGAACTGGCTGCTCCTGATCACTTTGGGAAGGGCAGTGCTTTTCCCAGCTCATTCTCTCATGCTTGTTGGTTATCCTGTACCTGCTCTCGGGTCTTGTTTTGGTCTGAATATCCTCATTTCACCGGATGTGCTTAGGATCAGCTTTTTTGCACTATCTTTGCACTGTCTCCCTGTTTTGATTTATTCTGGCCCTCAGTGCCTCACCTGTGCAATGGAAGAAGCAAAGTAGTTATAGAAACAAGCTGAATCCTGAGCAAGAGGCAAAAAGTGATAGCTGGTGGGATTTGGAATTTTTTTTTCCAAATGCTTCCTGACTGCTCAATGGCTATTTCAAACTGGCAAACATCTCCCCATCCTGCCCAGGCACTACTGACACCTCTAGGGTTAGCAGGGTAGTTTTGACTTGCTTTTACAGGGGTGCCTTGGTTTCCCCTAGGTTTTCAAAACAATAGGAAAATAATCCTAAATGTATTGTTTTAAATGCCAGATTCCAAATGCTGTGGGCCCTAGTTAATGAAACATGGCCAGAGCAGGTTGAGGAGCAGCCCACCGTAATGTCAGTAGTGCGGGCACAGGAGACTACAGCCCCACTTCTCACCCCACTCATTCTTCTCTCTCTCTCTCTCACCCCACTCATTCTCATTCTTCTGTGTCTGAGCGGGACAAGACATGCAGAAGCCAAAATGTACTGGACCAAGCTGAAAAATATTTCAAACCATTTTTTGTGTCCTTAAACCAGATCTCAGCCTGAACCATTGCTTTGAAATCTCTCTTGAGTCACAGCTGGATGGCTGAACTCTCTTTCATCTCCCTTCGAAATGGTGTGGAGCTGAAGACAATGTCTTGACCATGTTCTGAAAGGGACTAGATCAGCCCAGCAATCACTTGGGGTGTCTCTGGGGGCCTGAAGCACCCTGCATCAGCCTCTCTCCAGCTTTCTTCCACCATCTTTCCTTCTCCAGCCACATAAGACCTTCATAATTCCCTGCAGTGTTCCCCACCCAGCTCTGCAGCTCCCACCAGGGATGTGGCCACTCCAGAGGCCCTTGTACCTCCCAGTGGTGGACTGGTCCCAGTGGGAGAGGGGCTGGACAGGCTTTTGATTCCTTCCTCCTGCTGGCAATGCCACGGGGAGCCTGTGCGTGTGTGAACATGGTGTGGCCTCAGCCTAAGCCTGGGCCACTGATTTGCTAAAGGGGAGCTCCAAAGGCTTTGACCTTGCTGTCTCTTCCCTTTACCCCATCTCCTGTTCCCCTCATGCCTTCTGAATGGGAAGGAAGCACCTTCCTGCTCCTCCATTACACATGCGAGATTTGGAGGACATAATGCTCCCAGGATGTATACTTTTGGTGGACATATACTTTCAGGTGGCTGCACATGTGTCTGTCCAGAAGGAGAAACTCCAGTGGCCCAAGGGTGTGTTCATACATCCCAGTAGGGCTGGAGAGACATTGAGCCACTCACTGGACTGTCACTGCTGTGGACTGGAGCTGAAGGAAAGCAACTTCTTGGTCAACTGATGACCCAGAGCTGGAAAGGAAAAAGAAAACACAGTGGTTTGAATCCTGACAGGTTTGTGCATGCAGCACCTAGCACCTGCAAAAAAGGAAGAAGAAAACAAACTAAAAGAGAGGGAGTTTGTGTCTGCTGGATTTAAGAAGTTACTGCTGGCATATTAAAATGAAGTAGTAGACTTGTCTGATTTGGGGTTAGGTGAGCGCTGCCGATGCAAGTTCCCAGATGCCTGGGGATGAGCTGTGCCTGGTCCGTGCCAGCTGGCACAGCCGTGGCTCGGGAATGTCCCTGGCATCCGAACAGTGGGGATCCAGCCTGCACAGCCCGTGTCCACCTTCGCTCTGGGGCTGGTCTGAGAGGAGAGGGCTCTGCCTCTGGGAAACGGAGGGAAGAGCAGGAGGCTCACCTCGGCTTTGCCCAGCTGAGAAATGGAGTTCAAAAACAAGAGAGGGGTGAAAGTATGGCTCTCGGCTGTCTTTGCCGGCAGGGAGGCACCTGGTGAGGGTGCCAAGGTGAGGGTGTGGAGGGAGCCCTGCCCTACTCTGAGGCTGTGGGCCCTGAGGCAGCTTTCACAAACAAACCAGGGCTCTGCAGACTGGGGAGCAGGAGAAGATGTCCCTTCAGAGAGGGTGGAACCGAAAGGTTTCACTCCTCCTGGGTAAAGCCCCAGCCTTGAAGCGTGTCCTTGCATCACATTCCCCACGGCAGAGGGTAGGAGGGTGCCTGTTCGTACAGACAGTGGTGTGAACCATTGAGACCTGCCCATCGCCATGGCTGACCCCATGAGGAGACACCTCAGCTCCCACCAGCACTGGGCACGAGCCCCTCAGTTTTGGGCAGCCGCCATCTTGGGCCCTGCCTCAGCACCCAGCCAGGTGGAGGAAATGTCTCCTCAGCCTTCCCCCCACAGCTGAGGGCTGCCACGGGGCTGGGGTGCTGCTAGTGCCAAAACTACAGGCAGCAGCACCTCATGGACCCCCACATCACCCCTCTCGGCTGCACCAGGCGAGATGGGGGCTGAGGGCAGCATGGAGAGGGGCATGGCAGTGGCTCGTGGCGGGTGGTCTCCCAGCTGAGGGGAGTAGCTGCAGGATGGGAACCCTGCAAAGATCGCCTGCAGCACGGGAAGCAGCCCTGAGTGGAAAAGGGGCCGGTCCCGAGCTGGGAAGGAGGAGAAGAGGGTGGGTCGTTTTGTCTCCTGTCAGGCTCCTCACAGCCTGTCTGGCAGTGCAGGAGGCAGCGGGGTTTTCCTTTCACCTGTGGGGCAGGGAGCCCCAGCCAGCACTCGTCCACTATGATCCTCTGGCTGTGGCTCTGCTGGGCTTTCTCCACCTCGGCGGGACAGCCCGACTCAGAGCTGATGGCGAGGTACCTGGAAGAGAAGCTGTTGGCAGACTACAGCATCGTGGAGCAAGTAGGTTTTAAGGTAGTTGTCGTTTGGGAGTATCTGGTGGCTGGAGCTGGCTTGTCCCCTCTTAATCATCGGTATCGACATGCAGGGCAGTCTGCTAAAACTGCATTTATTGCACCCATTCCTGCGGCGTGCCCATGGCTGTGGTGGCAGCTGGGCTCCATGGGATGCTGCTGCCATCAAGCAAGGCAGTTGTTGGAGGTGCTAAGCTGGGAAAGCACCAGCACCCTCCTGTGCTGGGTGCTGCTGCCCGGGGATGGGTTCAAAGCCAACATCCCGAGAGCTGTGCTAACTAGGCATTTAGCAGGGACAAGGGAGTTAACGCAGTGTCCTGGCCATGCGCCAGTCTGAGTAATTCAGAGTATTTCAGGCTCGGAGGAAAGTTTTTCTGCCTATGCTCTCAGTCTTGCTGTACTTGATTTTTAACTCATGCTGGATGAAATTAACTACATGAGTTTCAGCTTGTAAAATGCTTCTTGACCAGGAGAGAGAAAAGATATATTCTGCAAGTGAAGGCTGTTATGTTGTGTCACTGTGTGTCTTAGATTTTCTGGGGAAATAAGTCTGAAAGGGCAATGAAGTTTTTGCAAGGTAGCAAAGGAGTTTGCATGGTGGTTTGCGAGGCTGTGATTTAAAAGGCTGAGATTCAGATCCTTTCTCACATCCTTCAGGTCCATACCAGCTATCATGTGTGACTTTGGGTCACTTAGGGCATCAATCAGTTATTTAAATTTGATCAGCTCTGAGAGGCTCTGTAGTATCTGAGGGGGCCTGGCAGGTACAATGCAGGACCTATGGAAGACCTGTGCCTTGCTGGAGGCCAGGTGGGATACCCTAATGTCTAAAATGCCACCAGATGCCTGTATTTGGCATCTTCTTCCGTATGATGTGGGAAGAGTGAGACTCTTCATGTGTATCTGTACCCATCTCAGAGCTGGTCATTCCCAGCTCATCCCACCCATGCTAGAATGGGAAGAATTTCTTTCCAGAAGTACCTATTGCTCTCCAGTATGAGGACCTCAGCAACTTCATTGTCTATCCTGATTACTGTGAACACATATTCCTTCTCAGGGGATTCAGCCACAAACCGGCGTCGTCTTTCAGACCCACTTGTCCGAGTGAAAGAGAATATCTCCACCACTGTTCTGCCAGTGGAGTGGTATCTGGGAACACTCGCTCATCTGCTTTTAGGGGGAAAATCAGTTGTGAAGCTCAAGCAGCTGACTCACAGTTTTGAAATAACCTGGCTGATCTTGCATGAGGCAAAGGAGGGTGTTTTCACAGGAGCTGTGCTGCTGGCAGATGAGTGGCAGCTGCATCTTCCAACAGAAAAGCAGTGATCTATCAATAGAGGTGGTGATCTAGTCCCCTGGGACAGACAGATCTAGAAGAGGATGTCTGTCCATCCTCACTGAACACATGAGCCAGATTCCCCATAAGCAAATTTCTAACTAATTCTGGAGAGCATATAAGGCTGTGTTTAACTGGAAGGAACTTCGTACACAAAGTCAAGTACAGACACAGGTCTTTGTGGGATCATTGTATCTGAGATGACTGTGGATTACTTGTTGGCTCATCCAATGTTGGACCACTCTGCTAAGGTAGTTGACAAGGTTGCTAGTTATTACCATTGCACTAGAGGTAGTTCTGGACAGCTCTTCACAGGTAGTTACATTGCTACCACCCAGCTTATTCTCTGTATACCATGCTAAGACTAGCAGATGGCATTAGAAATGGGGTCACTACTAGCAATTAGTTTTAATGAGTGCTTTGGAAGGCCTTAGGGTTGATGGGAACTTGGAAATTGTTCCATAAGATGATGCTAGTGTAGCTGGCTGCTTCCAAACTCTTTGGTGCACTGATCAGTCTCATAAATCCTGCAGTAGGGCTTTGGTAGTACTCACAAAGTCCTAGCAAGCAGAATACTGTTATTTGGTGATCCTTAGTGACTCACCAATGTCTACTGGCTATCCTCAAGAATTCAGAAGGTAGCTTTTGAAGGAGCCAAGTCATACAACAGCTTCTTATGCAAATCAGCAAGGAAACTAAATGGGGGTGTGGCCAGTAACTAAATTTCCAGTTTCACTGATAAGTCAGTGAAAACCATTGTGACCATACAGAATAACGGGTGGATTTGTTCCAAAAAGTAATCCTTCAGTAAAAAAAGTACTGAGGATCACTGATTTCTCATCCTTGACTCTGCTCCAAGCAGTATCAACTTCACAGACATTTATCTGGCTTGTTCTGAAGAATCTACAGCATTGGAGACTCTGCAGCCTCTCACAGCAGGTTCCTGAGGTGCTTTACTTGCCTGGCATACTCACAACCCCTCTCCTCTCCTTTCCTCTCCCCTCCTCTCCTCTTTGTTGAGAATTGCCCAAGGGAGCCGTTTTTCTGTGGTTCTCATTTTACAGGATGTTGGCTAAAATAATGAAGAGGAGAGTGGTGGCTTTCCTGAGCTTTGCAATGCATGATATAAACAGACGTAAACTCAACTCTTTGGCAAGGAGTGCTGTTATTTCAGTGTAAATCAACAGAGAGGGCAAATCAGGTAAAAAAAAATCATTGAACTCCGCTGCTCTCTGGAGTTCCACTGACATTTGAAGAAGTCACTCAGCTTCCCTCATTGACAAGAGATTTGCACTCTGTTTTGGGGAGGGATTTGATTTGGAGATGTTGCGAAGCTGAGATTTACACCATGTGCAGGGAAGAAGTCATAGTTGTTGTTGTGAAGGGCAATACGAGTACGATTGAGTTATCATAGGTGAAGCACTTAATTTCATAATAAAATTCGTGTCTGACTTTAAAAATCTTTATCCCCTTTCTGCACATAACTAGCTCTTTTCTGTCACTGCGTGACAAATCCACAGTACCTACGGAGAGTTTTTAGGCAACAGATCTGCAGTTGAGGTAATATCAATAAAGCTGATGCCGTAACATTGCACAAGTCCTCCCTTGGAGCAGGTCCACATGTGCAGCAGAATGGAGTTATGCTTGCTCAGCCCCACCGCACGAGTGCTAGGTGTTAACCTGGTCACTGCTCAAACTCAAAGCAGCCACATGGTGCTGAGTTGAGGACAGCCTCAGGTGACCAGGCTTGTCAGGCTCAGTCCTCTCCCTGCCCAGTGTCTGTTACCCATGATGAGTGCTGAGCACTCTTACATGGATGAAGACCATGTCTGGACTGGGGAAGGGGATTTGGCTTTTACTTGCCTGAGGATGTAGGTGGGTCCTGCATGGCATTTGATGAGCATTGTGGACTGTTTAGCAGCCCTTCTCATCATGTGCCATAAAACATGTGATGGGGCAAAAACAGTGACACAGAGCCTTTGTGTGACTCCATAGGAAGCTATAAGGGAATATACTTCCAGGGCCAAGTCATAGTGTCCAGGGCTAAAGGCTGAGATTCCTGTCTTCTTATAGAGGGTCTCTTGACAAGTAGCATTTGAAAACACAGTTCCTTGCCTGTGAGAGCTGCATTCCACTGCTGAGCTTTGATCAATGGGTCCGTTAATATAGAAGAGATTTAGGTTTTAATTTTAACCAGAGGAACATTGAACCTGGCCATGGGTGATCAGTCACACAAACCCATGGCTGGATTTAAACAAGTGACGTCTTCTGTAAGTTGACTAGGCTCCACTAACTCCCTTAACTCTTTGCAGGTTGCACGCCGTGTTCCAAGACAGGCCAAATTTTTGCAGAGGCTGGTATGTATCACACCGTGTCTTTATTTTACCTCATGGGAATTGCATTTGCTCTATGTATATATGTGTGTGTGTGTGTGCATCCCTATCCCCAGGAAGGAATTATGTCAGTGGGTGATGGTAGAGTGAGATTCTAGGTAAAAAATAATCTTCATTTTGATCAACAGGTACAGGTTCTTCTAATACTTCCCAATCCATCTTCTCAACCACAGATTTAGAGCGAGAAGATCCAATGTTACAAACCGTAACCATGCAGTGAACATAAGCTTGATGAGATCTCATTGAATTTGAAGAGAAAGGGAGAGTGTGCTTTCAGATTTGAAGATCTCTGTTGTTCTCTGTCCAACATTTACTGAAAAAAAAGGATGAAAATAAGGAGGCTAATATCCTTCTTTCAGCACAGGAACCTAAGCTTTAAGATGTAAATGAGCAATTGTGAGGTGTACAGCAAGTCAGTGAGATCTGGCTATATTGCTGCAATGAGAGTTTGCATGGCTTAGATCAAAACTTTGGCTAAAGAGGCAGACAGTGAAATTGCTGTTCACAACCAGTTATTTTTCTGGCTTTTCTGAGGTATGGAGGCTTCCCAGTTGAGAACTGGAGGGACTCATTTCACACCCTGAACAGCCATCGTATAGTAATAGCTTCTAGTCCCTTTGATCTTTGGCAGATCTGAATCAGCAGCCTGGAGGAGAGCAGCTCCCAGACTTTTTACCAGTTCATTACTTCTAATCTGAGATATGGTCAATTTGTTTTGATTAAAGCATCTTATAAAGGTAAAAACACAGAGTGTATTTCATTTATCTTCAGCTCTCTTCTGTCTTTCCAGACATTTGATGTAAACAAGCATAAAATAATTTCTTTGGCAAGAAAATCTCAGCTCTCATTTCATCATAATAACTAGGACACCTTCATAAAGCATCCAGCCAACCTGCCTTGTAGCAGCGTGCTAATCTGCCGCCTTAGAGTTCACTAGCTTTATTTTTAATAGGGATAATAAATCACAGTAATAATACTATTAAACAAATGGTTTGTTTTATTTTTTACTTGTGCTGCCTCTCATCTTCAGAAGGTCTTAATAAAAAGAGAAAACAAACAGGCATTTGCGCAGCTGTAAGTCAGAGCATCAGGCACTGATGGATTGTGCAAGAGCTCCAGGGAATGCACAAGAATCATAGACTGGAACTTGGGCTGCCTTCCAAGCCTGACCTAGCGACCTGTTTGGAAGCTGCCTCTGCCTCAACATTTATATTTTCTATATACACAGAATGGTAGATTCCTTCTAGGGATGGGAAGATGAAGCAGTTCTTTTATCCTCAGTTGTATGTGATGCCCTTGTTCAGTTTTGGCTTTCTCTAGCAGCAACTTCTAACCACCAGGAAGAGGGAGAGGTGTTGAATGTCTTTTTTTCTTTTGTTTTTGTCGTTCCTCAGTCTGTGAGGATATCAGAGCTGGCTCTTGTTCAGTGGAACAGGGAGATATGACAGAGGTCAGCTGAAGCCAGCAAATAGTATATTCAGCAAAATCCCTAAGCGATGCGGTTCTTCATATAAAATACCACTAAGCTGTGGAACTCCTTGCTGCAAGATGTTGTGGATGCTAAAAGTTTACATGGACTCAAAAAGCAGCTGTGTGAAGTCATTGAAGAAAAAACCGACAGAGTGTTACTAAGCACAAAAATACCACCCTTGCCTCAGGAGTTCCTTCAGCCAGAAATTACTGAAAACTAAGAGAATATTTCTGGGTAGTATTGGTAGAGGTTGGATTGATTTTACACTCTTCTCTAAGCATGTCCTATTGATCCCTGCCAGTAACAGGCTGCAGGGTTAGAATTGCTTTTGTTCTCACCCAATGCAACCATTCTTGTGTACTTGTCATAACATGTCTATGTCCTCTGTCGTATTCAGAAGACTTTCTGACTTCAGATGAATCTATCACTGCATTCCCAGTGTTAGTCTCATCTGTCACTGCAAAATCACATGTATCTCAAGTTAATGGCAAAGGGCTTGATCCTCTTATGCTGTTGAGCTCTCAACTGTTTGAACCTGCAGCTTATGATGAAATGCAGAACATAGGGGTAGATGCAGGACATCTGGAACCAAAGAATTTGCTGTAGTTTCAAAGTCTTTTACTTCTACTGTTAAATCCTCTGTATCTCTTGCGATGCCGCAGGCAATTAGTGGCATGTAAGACTGAACAAAACATCAGCTCATTGTGTCTGGAAACGTGCCTGCAACACTACTTCAGAACAAAACTCCCCATCCTCTCCACCTTCATATAACGAGATTGGAAAGCCTCACCTGTGTATCAGGGAAAGTCCTAAGAACAGCAGGGTCTAGTTCTAATCAACAGAGATGGAGTAAAAGCCACTAGTGGCCTCCGGGGGGGACATTAGATCTGAGCAGATGTGTTCTAGTCTAGATCCATCACACTGAGCTGTCGGAAATCAGTGAGACAAATCACACCCTAAAAGTGCTAATCTCTTGCCATTGTGCCCCCCCTATGAGCTGAACCTGTGCTAAGCAGGATGTTCGTGGACACAAAGCACATCACATTCTCCAGCTGTTCAAGATATCTCTCATGATTAGGTTCATTTGAGACACATTTATCAGAGTCTTTCCAAGACTTGAAAGTGTAGGCAGGTGGGGCTTTATTCCAAGTCTATTGACAGTTTTGGTTTTGTTTTTTTTTCCCCAGTGGATTCCTCTTCTTCCATTTGCCTGGAATTCACTAGCCCAGCAGCTTCATTAGCTGAGTGCTCACTTAGTGCTGCTTCTGTTGCCATCAGCTCCCATAGAAATGTCCTGTTTCATGGTTGCTCATGCAAACACTTGCCCCCTTCGTTAAGCAATTTGTCAAAATTATTTTTGTTCAGGAAAAATAATCCTGAAAGTGCAGCTGAAGAATGTGTTCTTGTCTTTGCAAGTCTTATTGTGACTGACTTTTTATCAACCTAGATAGGAAGAGTCTCGGTGTATTTGGCTTACTGAAGTCACACTATTTGCAATATGCTTTACTCCTTAGCTTCCTTCTGCTTTTGAGGGTTTGGTCTTTGACTGTTTAAGGTAACATACAGAATTTTTTTACATGGGCTTCTTATAGAAGTCACTGAAATCTTCCAGGAAGAAAACTGTTGAGCTCCATGGAGACGTTGCTGTCAAAATACATGTTAGACTGGAGCAATGCTCCAACCTGGGACTTGTGTACAAAAACACATTCCCAAGAAGCAGAAATTGGCTTTCAGCTTCCATTGCTACATCATGTGTCATTCATTGCAGTCTCTGTTGCGTCTCTGTTGGAAAGAATCCAGTGTGGGCTAAAAGGCTTAAAATATTTTACTTGGGATGTCACAGTGTCAGTGTTTCTTATTAAATCTCTTCCATCCATTGCCTGAGACCTCCAGGATGGATTCTTAGCAAACAAGGACTCAGTCAACTCCATTGACAGCATTTTTTCTATTTACATGAGTTATGGATCTGATTGTATGAATTTGAAAATGTTGCTTCATAAACAGTGACTTCAGTCAGAGCTCTTACCATTCCTGGACCCTTCCCAAGCATTGGAGAATGACTGTGGCCTTTGCTCTTGTGTGTGGGCAAAGGCAGTGCCATGTCCCAGGTTTACCTTTTGCAGCTCACCTGAAATCTTGAGGGCAAGTCCACCTTGCCTGATGTTGACTGTTTTTCATAGGGGAGTCTAATACTCGGGGAAGTTATTTGCATTAGTGTATTAAGTATGAAAGCCATTGAAACACTGAAGGGGTGAGTTATCTAGCTGTCAGTGGTAAATGAGAACCTTTTGATACCTACAGGAAACCAGGCCTCGGATGTCTGAATTCAATGTGAGATCCACAATCATTTCTCGGTATGCTTTCACCACGGTGTCCTGCACAATGGTGAACAGTGGATCTGAGGCACGTGAAGGTGTGTTTGAGATGCAGATCCCAGCTGCAGCCTTCATCTCCAACTTTACCATGTAAGTAAGTAACACTGACAGCTGGGCAGACAAGGGTTCTCCCATCCCTCAGGCAGCTCCCTGAGATTTAAAAACTAGCTAGCCTGCAGTAGGGTTGTATCAAGTCCTTTGTGATTTCTTTGGGAAAAATAAAATCACACACATGTTATATAGTCCATCCGAGACTGCTCACAGCCCCAAAGCACAGCGCAAGTCTTTGGATGACATGATGCTGAGATTCAAGCCCTTCATGGGCATGGGGAAGAAAATTTTTCTATTTCCTATCTGAGTGTCTTTTAACAACTTCCTTTTCCTCCTCTCTCTTTGATTTGGACCAGAAAAAAAGTCTCTTCTAGCCCTCAGAAACCTTTCCAGTTAAAGTTTCAGCAACACTGGCACATGTTAGTTATCTCACCTCAATGTGATGCCTAAGAAGCTCCTTGTTGTTCCAGGTTCTCCTTACTGTCAATGGAGGAGGGGAGTCAACTCCAACTAGCAGATAGGTTGAGTTGCTGCTGGAGGTGCTAGTTCTTTTTGCACAACAGAGCAAGCTGAGGGCAATCGAGCTCATTCTGAAATGACTCACTAAGGAAATAAATTAAACTCTTGATTTCAAAAACATGTTGGTTTGGTCACTCTCAGATCCCAACTATGGGCAGATATTGGGGCCACAATTTCAGACCTGACCGTAGCAGATGGGGAATCAGCTCTTTCAGAAAGACTTACATTTTTGCTGAATAGAAGGAAAGACAGTCTTTTGCCATTGGCCAGCCAAAATGTGTGTAAAGAGCTGTTTGCTTATGGAGTCCATGGCCTTGTAACTCATTTCCAGGGAGAAGCATTTTAGTGAGGCAGCTAAGTGACAGCAGTCATCCTGAATATTGCCATGTGTACTGACACAGATGGTGGATCTGATATCAGCCAAAAAACGTGCTTGTTGGGCTTCTTGGCAGCTGCTTTCCTTTCTGGTTTGCATCCTTATGCTTTGGAGATTACCTATTGAACTGGCATTTTAGAGAAGTAAACTCCTGGACTAAATATGTACTCTGCTGGTATAACCAGCCAGGGAACTTCTAAATCAGCTTCTGTCTCAGTGGCTCGAGTGGACTCCAGGAGAATTACACCAGCAGCACACTCAGCCTGTTCACATGTGCCCAGTCTGTGAACCCTTCTACAGCAAGCTGCACAACTGTCACTGTCTATGGGTGCAGAGTGGTCATGCTGACATCTCTGGTCTCTCCAGGAGCATTGGCAACAAGACTTATTATGGAGAGGTCACAGGGAAAGAAAAGAAAAACAGCAGCGATGACAAGGCAAGGGAAAAGAAACCTCTGAGCCCCACAGATGGAAGGTAAGTGTTGTGCATTTGGCTGTATTCTGGGTAGCAACAAACTCTCCTCCCATCTTTATTTTGGCTGCTTTAGCATACCCATCCATGGATTTACAGGAAGGAGCAGCTAAGTAGAATGTTATCTGCACTGCTGGTGTCATTCCCATACTCCAAATGGGAGTAAAGTGGCATGTGGCATTTTCTAGTGCTGTTACACAACATTTTCACGTCCAAGAAGCTCCAGGATGTATTTGAGAGTGAAAGAAATTTTGTCACTTCCTGAATAACAGGCAGGAAAATTAAGGCACACAGAAATTCTATGAGTTACAACTTCAAGACTACAAAATTAGTCAGTGGTAGAACTACAAGTAGCCTTTGCAGTCATGTTTACTTGCCCTGTTCTCAGTGCTTGACTGTGTTTCGTCCTCTTGGCCAAACACTGGCTGGAAGTATCATCTCCTTAATGATCTAATAGCCTGTGTGCTCACCTGGATGCACTTCTTCAGCAGCACTTTAATTTTACAGGTGCTCGTATTCCCACAAATGGCTTTCAAAGATATGCACCATTGGATGGATTTTGCTGCTCTGGAAAATCCTGAACTACTTTCAGTTACTCGGGATAGTAGCACTATTCCAACATGAACACTTCATCAGGAACAGCTAAATAGACTATGATTTTCAGACCAGAGAAATTATAAACTGCTGGGAGGGAGAGGTCTGACAGAGATCTGAATTCATAAGTGGAAGGAGAATAAGGGATTTTTATTTTCTGTCCTTCATAGAAGAACTTTAGAAAATTGAATGAAATGATCAGATGTCAGGTTCAAAATGGCTGAAATAAGGTATTTTTCATATAAATTGTGTTTCCTGCCACTGGAAATTGTGGATGCTAAACTTAATGTGGGTTCAACAAGTGATTAGATGAATTAATGGTAAGAAAAATCCACCAGGAACCTTTAGCAAAGGAAGCTGTCTCAGGATCCAGACACAGAACCTGAAAGAGTTCTATATCTCTCTTGAAGCACTACATTTCTCTCATCATGCCCTGTTGCATCCTCTTCTGTAGGTGATCACTACCTGTCGTTGTTAGACCATTGGTATGACCCAAAAGATGTCATTCCAACTGTCCTAAAGGCTAACATTAAAAAAAAAAAGAAATTATATGTGTTAGAGAAATCAACATCTCAAATCCTTTTTAATACTCACTGAATTGTGTGCATCACCAGAATCTCACCTCAGTGAGTTCTGAAGTTATCCCTACATGGCATTGAAATTTTCCATTCCTGTTGTGTGACTTTTTTATTTTCCATTCACAAATAATAGTGCCTGGCATCATATCAGTGCCTGGAAGCAGGACATTACACTGCACTGTATGGGAAGTAGAGCATATTAAATTACCTCTGTTTAACAGCTGGTTTCACATATTCAATTATAAGAAATATTTTTATTGGACCAACAAAATCGGGTTCATTATTCCCTGGAGGAGGTGGCATGAGATGTGTATGCGGTGTGAAAGTGTCTTTGGATTTTCCTTCTAGGGAGAATGGCTATGAGATATTCAAAGCTTCCGTCTTCATTCCTCGCAAGATGCAGGCCAGGTTCGTACTGCATTATGAAGAGCTTTTGCAAAGGCGACTGGGAAAGTACGAGTATACAGTCAGCATCCGGCCCCAGCAGCTGGTGGGGAGGCTACGAGTGGAAGTGAACATCCTGGAGAACTCCGGAATAGTTTCACTGGAAGTGCCTCCTCTCCGAAACAGCAAGCATAAAAGCAGTGGGAAAGTTGAAGGTAAGGAGAGATTTTATGTTACTCATCGGGCCTTCAACACTTCTCAGAAAAACTGGACTGGCAATGTTGGGAGTTCTTGAAGGCAATCTTGGATAATTGTATAGATTGGTGTTTCATACATTTTCCCTCTGCTCCAGTGAGGCATTAAATAAAACCCCAATATTGTACTAAAGCAGCATTGTCTAGGGTCAAGACTATTAGAAACTAGAGGACACGTCATGAAGACAATAAGAAAAATGAATCCTAGCAGCTCACTAGAAATAAACTATTCTGGCAAATTCCAACTATTACCTTATTTAGAAAGATACATTTTTTACTTTCCCATCTTAACTCTTGCTGCACTCACTGTATGACAGATACATTCCACCCTAGAGGTGGCTGCATTTGACAAGTCTCTAAACATTGCAGCAATTCCTATTATGAGATCTCTTATTCCCTGGCAGGGCAGCTCACGAACGCTGGTATGATGGCTACAATGTGAAAGGGTTTTCAGGATTATGAACTCTGGGAGGTTCAGTGGTGGGAATTCAGTCATCATAAAGTCTTTTGTTCTATTTTCTACAAATGACTGTATTTATGTGGTATCTGTGCATAAGCATGTGAGAACTTTGAAGCTTAGTGAATACAGGGCAGATCCCATTCAACTCAATAAGATATTTTTTTTTTCCTATTGTTTTTACGAGCTTTGAACTGGGCCTTCAGGCCCTGTGGTCAGAGTTTGAGCAGGCTCTTCCCTGGCTCCACATCTCCTGGGAACTGTTTATTTTAAGGGAATTGTTTTTTCCATCCATCCATGCCAAGGCACATAGGAAATCCTGCATTTTAGAACATGGGAAATTCCAAGAGGAAAATCCACATTTTGCCAAAGCACTAAGTGTGGTCTGAGTATCTAATCTTACCCCCTTTTTTCAGACAGTTGAAAGGTAATTTTTCTAGTGTAAACTAACAGTGAGGAGCACAGGATATTGTGATTGCTACATGGTGACATGTTGACAAAAAACCATCACCAAAAAAAGGTGGAGAGTCTGATGTGGAAGCAGGATGTAGAGTCTTGTGGGACTTGATCCTCAGCTATTATAAGTGCCATAATGCCAGCAAAATCAGTGGAGCTGTTCATGTCTGCCACATAAAGGTCCTCAAGCATGTGAACTGGAGTTAAACTGATTGCTCAGTGTGATCCTACTGATTTCATCCAAATCACAGTGAAATTAAGGCTCTCGGTGACTTGGACTAGCTTCAGGTCAGCCTTGTATAGTGAATTAGTCTCTGCCGTACATCCATGCACTGTATGATAAATGTGCCCTGCTCCTCATCAGGAGGGACAGGAAGCCTTTTTCACCTATCAGGGAGAATCATAGTGCATTGTGGCGCATGGTTTCCTGCAAAACATCTGGCATTGATCAAGGCTAGAGACAGACTAAGCAGAGCAGACACACTCTTGGTCTAGTGCAGTATGGAAATTCCTATATGTCAATGACAATACAGGGAGAACTTTCATAACTTGCTATCCAAATGGTAATCTGTGAGCGCTGATCATTCTTGGCACTGTGCTTCAGATTTCAAACAGTGCATATAAAAATGGGCTTAGGCTCTAAGATTCCATAATCCTCCCTAGCCAGTAAAATGTACATAAAATAGTTGTCCCATTGCAGGATGGGTAAAGCAACTAAAACTCAAATTCCCTGGACTTTATCCTTGCTCAGAACTGTGGTTTCAGAATTTTTCTATCTGGAATAATCCTATACAGCTGGTGAAAATGGTTTGCTGTGATGAAATCACTGCTATGGAAGTCATTGAAATGCCAAACACGCTTTTGGGGTCCATCATGGACAGCCAAGGGTGGGTTGTGTCTCTACCAGATCAAGTCTTTGTTGGTACTCAGGTGAGTGCCACTCAGATGAGGGTACAGGGTTAATTAATTTAGTAGGTTTGCTGAGCTGCCTTCTGATGTAAAACAAGATGAGGAGATTAGGACATTACCAGTAGCCAGAGCAAACAAACAAACAAATAAATAAATAAATCAAAGAATTGGCAGACGGTCTCAGAAGGGTCTCATATAGGTCACAGAGAAGGGCAGCTTGTTTTGTAACCTCTTCTGGCCAACAAGATCAATCATGCTTGGAGCAGGCAACAGGAACTTCCTGCCTTCCTAAACACAAATGAAAACCAGAAGAATACTCCTAGGGAGGGCAAGGCCAAGGCAAGGAGCATTTCGCTCGGAAATCCACCGTACTCCAGTCAGCTGTCCTCTCTCAAGCTTGATCCAGAAAGCAAAACATCTGAGTCATTAGATCCTCTCTGCAAAGCCTTCTTGCTCATACAACACCCAAAGACTGAAGGCATCAGCACATGCAGTGAGATCTCCAGGGAAGGCCATGGTATTTTTAAATGAAAGACATGTAAATTGTGTGCCAGGCCAGAGTGGCTGCTTGGCAGACAGTCTGCAAACTGGGAACAAACCAAGAACAAGACAGTGTCTGGCCTTTTATTGGACTCCTGTGCCTGAAAACTCTTCAGTCTCAGTTGACTGGAGAGCATGGTAGCAATCTAGTAAATAAATGGCCAGCAAAGGAGCCAGACCACATGCTGCTGTACTGTGTTACCTGCATCGCTCCAAATGAGAGATCATGACTTAAAAAAATTACCGAATAAGGAACAGAGGCCTAAACACTGGAAAATGGTGCTGCCTGGCTGGTCTGAGTTTGAAAAAGTCATGAAAACTTTCTTCCTCAATTTCCTATGTCTACAAAGGTGTCTATGGCATCTCATGGTTAATGTTAAATGTGAGATTTTGATAAGTATTAATAAACTACCTTGAGAGCATTGGGTGAAAAATGTATTGTTAAATGGCATTCTGAGTAATATGTCCAAAGCGCCACCAACCTGAAACTATTGTTGAGGATGGGGTGTAGCTTCACATGTCATTTAGACACTTTTGACTCTGACTGACCTGGATAAGAAATTATATTATTTTTCTGAGTGCCAGTCCTGAAGATCCAGTGTAGGTTAGGAAAATTAGGCTGAAAATCAAATTTGTTTGGCTCTGGAGCCATCAATAACTCCAGATGATGAACACTGGCAGTGACTGATGATCATAACTGAAATGCCAACCTGTTGTGGTAATAAACACTTTTAGAAAAATTAATGAAAAAAGTAATAACAATAGCTGAGGTGGCCAAAAGGGAAGGAATAGCTGATCTGTCTTTATTTCATGGATCAACCCTCTTACATTTGTCGTGCTTTCTACATGCTATCCATAGAGCCAATGTACCGTGCAGGCAGCATACTGGAAAAAAAAACGTTCCTCTGTTTATTGCTCCTTCGGGATTTGCACTTTTGACTGCAACCAATCTGTTTGTATCCATACAGTATGTGATGAACAGGAGAGACAAAACTTAAAGACCTATAGACAGAAGATAGCCCTTGATGAGAAAGAGTGAAGGACACTTTTTTTCTCCCCCATTTACAAAACAGCATGGAAATCACAGTAGTAGGAACAGAAGTAGTTACGAGTCCCATTCTGCCTATTTTTTGACTGTAAAGACCTGAGATGCAAAGATTGGAGTTGGTTCCACAAATTTCCAGTGATTTATGCAAAGTCAAGCTGTGCTTTGCTACAGATAGAGGCTCCTGGAAAGTTTTGTGTACATCCTCTCTGAACAGGGAGCAGAGACAATGTGATGACAGGCTTTTCCAGGATATTCCTTTGTCAGTGACTCCTGTGCATACAACTGGGAGTTGTATTTTTCCCAAAGGAAGACATTAGGTATGTGAGTTTTGTAAAGTGATCTTTTGTCATGTGCAGGTGTCTTCTTCTGTCACATACAAAACTCAAAACAAGAGATGTTGAGGCCAATGATCCTGGCCTTCTCTGGTGATCTCAAGAGCGGAGCAATTTTCTGAACGATGAACGTCATGCTCAGAGATGACTGTCATCCTTTTCCTCCAGCGCAGTGGTGTGAGAACTAGTCAGGGACTTGGGCAGGGAGACACTAGGCTGCTTGAGAATGACTATTTCTCTTCAAAGTAATAAGTCTCAGAAAGGTTTTAATTTCTTATCATAGTTGCCTAGAAGCTCCCATGTGTTAGTGGAGGATGAACATTGCGTTTGAGCTCTAATCCTGACTCTGCCAGTCTCCAAAATAATTTTGTTCATCATGTGAGGACTACAGTTTCATATGAAAAACACTTTTTCCTGCTCTGTTTACTTCTTTAGCTGAATTTGGTGGAAAGTTTGTCTAAAGGCCCTATTAACTACCTCAGTGTGAGCACAGACCAGCTCAAATCTTTGGAGCTCATCCATGCTCTGTACTCTGCAATATCTCACAGATTTTCCTCTCTCAGTCACTTGTTTGAAAAGAACTGGGCCAATAAGCAGAGGAGGGTAATTGTGATCCAGATATCAAATGCTGCCTAAAAAACAAACCTGGATGGAGACACAGTTACTGAATTGAAATATATAAAAGACTGCTGCAAGGAGGAAAAGAATTCTGTGCTTTCTGTGTCAATAACAGAAAGGACAAGAAGCTACGTGTTTATAATCCAGAAAGAAAAATGTAAAAGAAACATGGAAAATGGCTAACAGTGAAAAAGTGAAGCTCTGGAAAGGACTGGCAATGAGAAGTACTGAGTTTCCATTACTGGAGGTCTGGAGTGTTTCTAGACCATGTCTTAAAACCAAGAAGGAAGGGATTCAGTTGGGAAACATGTGATGAATTAGATAACCTGACTTCCAGATGTGATTTCTATTATTCCAGCGGGGAAAAAAAAAAAGTTATTTTGGACCTTTTCTATCAGATATTTTTTTGTTTTAATCTCTGTCCTGGAGATGGGAGATGAGTGGCTATGAAGAAGATGGCAGAGCTTCCATAGCTATTGTCACTGACACTGGGTGTGTGAGGCAGCCTTGGAAACCTCCTCTCCAGGGGTTCCTAAAGCACTGTCTGTGTTACAGGGGATGACATTTCTTACCTCCAGACTGTGTTTTGAGGAGTAATAGAGGAACGCAATGTGATCCACATGATCCCATCTAGATTCCACAGTGTTTTACAAAACTTGATATGTGTGATTATGCCCATTTAACAGGGAAACTGAGGCGTGGAGTGGTTACCTAACTCAGCTAATTTCAGATGGTCAGAGTCCATAGAAACAGTAGGACTGGAACTCATGCTGTTGTGGTGCACAGCATATTGTGCTTACCCATCAGTGTCCTTATGGCAGAGAAACACAGAAGTGAAGCCCAAAGGCCACAGCCACAGATGTGTATGTGCAGTAGGTGTAATGAGAGAGCTTCTGTTTCCAGTGTGAGACTGACTTTCACTAACCCTGATGTGATGTGGTCAGGCAGCTTTTCATCTGTTGAGGAGAGACAATATGAAACCCTCAAACAGATCAGAAAATATAAATGAACTCTTAAGTCAGTTCTGAGTTCTGGACATTTCCCATACACTGGCAGTTAAATGGGATTTTGGAAGTGATAGAAGACAGATGGAAAATCCAGGAAGGCCAATATAAGCAAATCTGAGGCATTGTGTATTAAAAACATACTACATCTGTTGATTCATCAGACCAAAGGGCAGCTATAAAAGAGCAGATCAAGATGGAGATAAAATCTTATAGGGCTATTGATTTATGACTTTTCTTTGCCAGAAGAAATCTGAACTGTACACAGATTTTAGAATAAATGTCAAAGCTCTGGGTAATTATTTTATAAGCCCCCTTTAAGGTCAAACACTAGTGTCCTTAAGTGATTTCAGTGTACTGGCTGGGACCTCTCTCTCTGTTTCCATCAGGATAGATGGATGAGAATTGACATAGAGCAGCCATGATGCAGTATAAATTGTGGACTTGACTGAATTTGAGTAATATCTGCCACTCAGCCTCCTTGGTCGAGACTTTTGCTAATGAGTTTGTTTCACATCCCACGTCCCCCAGCTATAATTTATTTGTGTAGAAGCTGGGACTATGAGAAAACCCAAACCCTTCCCTGCCTCAGTAGTATGGTCTTGTGTCCTGTCTATTCAAATGGACTCATGGGACAGATACAGAAATAAAGCCAAATCAACATGCAAGTTACATCCTAGGGTGCTGATGATTTAAGACTCCTACTTTCATTCCTTTGCCTGGAGGAGTCTAGATTATACGTAGCACTTTAGAGTAAGTGTCACAGCTTTGGCTAATCATTTTATAAACACACTAGAACCCTAGTACCAGAATTTCTATGGACTTTGGCCTGTGGAAAGTCAGTTGTGTTAGGTAACCACTCCATGTTTTCATTTTCCCACTTGTTAAATGGACATAATCATATGCATCTGATTTTGAAAATCACCGTGGGATAGAGATGTGAGGTGGTTTGTGTTCAGTGTTGCATACAGATGTCACGTTGCATTCCTCTAATGCTGCTCATAGCACTTTACAAAGGTGGAGAAATGCCACTCCAGTTACAGGAACCCCTGGAGAGGGGCTTAGCAAGACTCCCTGCACCTTCTCATTGTGATCATTATTGTTAATGGGGTACAGCACATAATTGATACTATCCTAAAGCAGATGCCCATGTCTGGCCACATGTATTATACGCTAATCTCCCCTGACACTCTTGACCTGATCTCCACTGAGCATAATGGGAGCCTAGAAAATAAGCTCAGATGTAGCTACTTGCATGGTGAACACCTAACCCAGAACTGAATCTCAGCCATCTTTTCTTTTTCCTACCATACCACAGACTTCTTGGGCCATCTTTG